GCTTGTTTCCTTCATTTCTGCTCTTACATTCACACACTCAAGAATAATGCAGACTTGAATCGTTTTCACACCAAAAACAACACAAATGAAATCTCTTCTCAAGGAGAGCATCGTTTAAAAAGCATTAAAAGGACATTTTTGGAACTCGACAGGCAAATATCTGTTATTGTGGATTGATTGAATTGTGCTTTCAGATTCTTCATATGATGTTTATTTGCGTTAGACCTGTTATCCATCATTAGGATCGATTCTCGTGAATGCATGAGCTGATCAAACGTGTGTGCTTTGGATAAAAGCCTCGACCAGATGCATGAAATGGTTTGTATAATTCTCTTTGACAGAAAGAGCGACTGCGAAAGAAAGAAGCCGGCGTTTCGTCCAGCTGAGGACGTGAAGAGCATTTCATCATCAGACACAGGCCTAAAAGTGTTTGGAAACCCTTCCGATCACCACATTTTCCTTCTGCCAAAATGAAGCACTTCTACACTCCTCCTCAGCGGTGAAGCCTATGCAATATCCTGCGTTTACGTGCAACTCATATCCATCCATTTGATGTGAGAAAACTACTGAATCATATCATTATTACAACCCTACAGTGAGTGTGTGTAAACAAGCCCTGTTTATTCACAGAATGAAGGATTCATTGAGGAACAGACTAGAATATTATAATATTATTTCCCTGTTGGTTCATGTGTAATGAATTCCGTCACTTATCCAGTTATCTCAGGCCCGGATGTTATTATTACAACTCTATTACAGTGTCAGATTTTATTGACCTTTTTTAATTTGTACATTTATTAGGTGCAATAAATGTTTTGAACATCAGCGTCTGCGAAAGGAGAAACCCGAAGAGAAAATGTCTTGTGATTTCTTGCATAAATCACATTTGATTTGTTTCATTTTGAAATGCCTAAGAGACAACAAAAGTGATAATGCTTTTGACTCACACTTAATAGTTCTGGCAATGCGATGTTAATTGAAACTTGCTACAATGTTAACAATGTTAAAACTACTTGCGGAGATGTCTTATTTATTAACTGGTCAGTGTTGGATTTTCACAGACTTCATGAACGTATCGTCTTGCAGATCTGTAATGATCTGGAACGGGAGTTTCTATTGTTTAATGAAGTTTCTCAAAGCGCCTGCAGTTCCTGCGTTTAACGAGCGTTAAAAAGCTGGTAAGTTCAGCGTGGATGCGGTCCAGCTCAGTGCATAAGACACGCGGCGTGAAATTGATTTCTGTGCTAATTTATGAAGCGTTTCATTTGTCAGAGAGAGAGAGACACCAGGGGTCAAAATGTTTCACCTTTTTATTCACACGATCTTCCCACAGGCTTCATACAAGCACTGCGTCTACATTACACACAACATCTGTACAAAATGTGTGATCATTCGCTCGTCACAGCTAAACTGATCATCTTTAAATAGACGAATAGCATGAAGAAACTCACAGCAGAAGCATGAAGAACAGTGTCTCGTTCGGTCACATTAAATAGAGCCGTTCCACATAGTGGAAACTATCAGTCCTTAAACGCTCTCAATTCTAGATTTGGAGATGAATGAAGGCATCTGTCACCATTACACCACAGAGTTGCTCTGGAAGATCTTTAGCGTACGAGTAGTTGATTAACAATATGTGCATGCATGTTTTCTCAACAGCAAGATGCAATACCTTAAACAATAAATTGAAAGTATTAGGATTTTTACCAGTGAAATCAATGAAATGAGTGCCATTGACCATTTGACATGTTTTGTCTATTTTTAACCATTTATAGGTGATTTTTTGGTGTTCCTGCAACTGAACTTAGTTTGTAAAAGTACAAATACTTCATGCATCCCTTAATTAATGAGCTCAGAAAAAGGCGAGTTTAATAAACATAAAATAATATTTAAATCTGGTTTGAAACAATAGTTTTAAATGAAAAATTCTATTTTTATGGACTACCCACATTCACTACTAGTCAACATTTGCATTAGAATTTTTGTTAAAGTATTATGAGTTATGAATACAAAATAATTTCTGTGACCAGTCAAAATTAAGTAAATGAGTGTCATTGAACTTTTGACGTTTTTTTTTCTTTTTTAACTGGTTCTCTAATTCTGTAGTGAAACTTTGTTTATAAAAGTACAAATACTTCATGCATCTCTCAATTAATGAGCTCAAAAAACTCATAAAAGAATATTTACATGTTTAAAACACTAGTTTTAGATTAAATATGACACTTTTTATGTCAGCTACCCACATGCACTACTATTTAAAATTTGTATTAGAATGAATGAATACAAAATCATTCCTGTGACCAATCAAATCAATGTAAACAAGTGTCATTGATCATTTGACTTTTTTTTTTTTACCATTTTAGGTCTTTTTTCCAGCAGTTTATACATTTATAGGCTAAATACTGCATGCAGCTCTCAATTAATGGTCTCAAAAAACTGCATGTTTAATAATCATACAAAAATATTTAAATGCTGTGTAAAGCAAGAGTTTTAGATTAAGTATGACACTTTTTTTGTGAACAACCCACATGCACTGCTAGTCAAAATGTTTAGGTGCATTCTGGTGCATTTATTTTTTTACAGGAGTTCAATAATGTTTATAGAAGCATGCATCTCTCAGTTAATGAGCTCATAAAACTGCATGTTTAATAATCATTAACAAATACAACAAACTCTAGTTTTAGATTAAATGCAGTGCTAGTCAAATTTTTTAGGTGCATTCTGACCATTTTTAACCATCTTTAGATTTAGTTTTTTTTATTTTATTGGAGTTCAATAATCCCGCAGTCAAACTTCGTTTACAGAAGTACAAATACCTCATGCATCTCTCAATTAATGAGCTCATAAAACTGCATGAAAAAAAATCTTAGAAAGTAATTTAAAACTCCAGTTTTAGATAAAAAATGACACTTTCCGTGTCAACTACTCACATGCACTGCTACTCGAAATTTGTAGGTGCATTCTGACCATTTTTGGCCATAATTAAATTTTTTCATTAATCCTGCAGCTAAACTTCGTTCTATAAATAATGCATGCATCTCTCAATTAACGAGCTCATAAAACTGCATGTTTAATAATCATTCAAAAAATCTTTTAAAGATTAGATTTTGCACGACTACTCAAAATGTGGACACTGATGCCAGAAAATGGGTTTGCAGACAAATCTAAACGGTGCTGGTGTTTCTGTAGTGTGTAATGCTGACAGACGCGTCTCTTCCAGCAGTCCAGTTCTAGTCCAGCTCGATGGAGACGCAGCGGCACTGTTTGACGCGCTGCACGCGCTTCTTCCGCGTCGGCGGCTGCTGGTCGGGGCAGCTGAGGGTGAAGGTCATGGTGGTGAAGCGCTTGGGTTTGCAGAACGAGCAGGACTGGAACGCACCCTCCTCTCTGCGCACGTGTCTGGGGATGTAGAAGGAGTTGCACTGTCCGTAGCAGAAGCGGTTGATGATGGTGCGGCTGACGCAGCCCTCCTCGTGGATGGTCTGTTTGAGCGGCTGCGTCTTGCACCAGTCGCGCTTCAGGTAGCGGCGCTCGGTGACATGCAGCGCCTCCTGGCTCGACTCCAGAACCTCCTCCGAGCCGCGGCTCCTGCCTCTGGAGCCCGGGGCCGCCTGCTGCTGCTGCTGCTGGTCCGACTCGTTCGGGTTGTTCTTGTCCGGGTGAGGAATCGCGCCTCGGTTCCGCTTGGATTCGGCGGGACTCGAGAGAAGAAGAACCCAGATGAAGAGCACTGCGAACGCCATCCGAGCGGAGGACACTGCATGGCGAGAGAAAATATTCAAGGTAACACTTTATTTTAAAATGTCCTTGTTACATGTTACATGCACTTACTATTACAATAAGGATAAATGATGCATAATTACATGCAACCCTAACCCTATAGTAAGCACATGTACTGGTAGACTTAAATGTATAATTAGGCTACACTGTAACAAGGACACCTTAAAATAAAGTGTAACCACATTCACAAACAGCTTCCTGTTAACTGATGAAAACGGTTTTTTTTTAAGTTCTAAAAACGTTTAGAACGTTCAAACATTTCTCACATTATGACGCTATAGTTTAGAAAATGGTAATAAAATATGAGAAGAACTCAGTTAAACTGAATAAACTGTGATAATGTTAGATAACTTTGATAGAAAGCTATGTAATGCATTCGGTTGAATAGCTGTCAGCTGTTACATTTAATACACAATTAGATAAAACCAATTTAGCTCAACTAATTACCAAGCAATGCTTCTCATTCTGTTCAGTCTGTGGTGTAAAAAGATCACATTAGCAATTAAAGAAAAACACTTCAGAAACACATGCTCGGCTCAAAGTGTCTGAATCATTTTTTGCTCCCAAATTTGACTGATAGTCCACTGTATGAAGAGTTTTTGGGTGTAATATTTCACAGTTTACTTTATTTTGCTCTCCTCACTTACATAACTTAACTATAGTGTCCTGCACCCACTAGTAAAACATATCTGCTGTCTGAATAATTGTTGGTTTGAGTGTATGAACGGTAATGGAACGTTCCATTTGATCATTCTGCATACATTATGGGAATGTTACTTTTGAATGTGAAAACTTAGTGTTCTTTTGCTGTAAATTCTTGCAGAGTTCTGTGATGGTCACCAATTTATCCAATACTGACCGGCTGGATAATGCTATAAAATTCATTTATATTTTCATTTGAGATATCTATATATAAAATATAGGAACTTTATATAGCTATATTTATATGTAGCCTAATAATAGTCAAATTCATATATTCATTATTAATAATAATAATAATAATATAGGCTATATAAAATCATTACATATTAAAACCTCAAAAAACATTTACAGAAAAAATAGAATTTTGAAGATTTTTTCATATATATATATAGGTCAGTTTACGGATCTTGTTAATATTTCAACACTGATTTCTAAGTACTTTGCTAAAAAAAAAACAATGTTGAAACAACAAATGACAATATTTCAACCACATTTCAACATTTAAGGTAGGTTTATGGAAATCATTCAGTGATTAAATATAAGCCTAGGCTATGGTCTGGATCATTATTACTCAGGGAACATCAGAGAAAATCATGATACATGATCAAATAACCATGTCTCAAACTCACAAACATTCTTAGTTTTTATGTTTAGACAATTATTAAACCTGAATAACAGCAGAATTGTTTAAGACACATGTATTTTATTCAAGAATGAGTCGTGCGGAATCTAGTCATGTTTGGAGAATCATCCGTGAGATCTTCAGTACACCGTCCAGCTGGACATTTGTGCTGATATTAAACATAAAAACCATCGTGACAGTATAATATAGTTCCTGTAGCTCAAACAGTAGAGCACTGGAGTAGCAACGCTAAGGTCATGGGTTCGATTCCCAGGGAAAGCATGAACTGATCACATCCATCGCTTTGGATCAAATCATCTGACCAATGCAGAAATGTGCAGAAATAAGAAACAGACACCTGCTCCAGACACAGGTTCAGGGATGAGTGAAGTGTGAAGATCTCTCACCTGTGAGCGTCGAGGAGCTTCTAGAGGAGATCTGCGTGAGGAGAGGAGCTGCGATCTGTCCCATAGACACACACACACACACTGAGAGTCTGCTGCTGAAATGAGCACTGCATCTCCACGCTCTCAGACACACTGCTGGAGAATCAGAGCTGTCCGGCCCCTCTCTCTCTCACGCACACACACACACACACACACACACTCAGAGGAGGGCTCTATCTGTCTGTCTGTACTGACTCCTGCTGCTGGAGATCTCATCAAGGACCTCAGGCCCTTCGATCATATGAAACAATATGTCATTTATGGATGGAAATTAATCTTTATGATGGTTCATGTTGGTGAAGAAGAGCTGCTGTTCATCAACTAAATATTGATGATGGGTTTGTGCATATAGGCAGCCTGAGATATGAACTGTGCAAATATATAAATAAATTCCTAATAATATATATATACACACACACACACACACACACTCTCTCGCTCTCACACACACACACACACTCTCTCTCTCTCACACACACACACACTGCCATTAAAAGGTTTTGGATAAGTAAAATTTTAAATGCTTTTTAAAGAATTCTCTTCATTTATTTGATCAAAAATACAGTAAAAACAGTAATATTGTGAAATATCGCAATTTAAAATAACGTTTTTCTATTTTAATATTTTAATAGGCTACAATTTAAAATTGTTTTCTATGTGAATTTATTGCAAAATAGAATTAACTGCTGTGATCAAAGCCGAATTTTTATCAGTCATTACTCCAGCCTTCAGTGTCACGTGATCCTTCAGAAATCATTATAATATACAGATTTTTGCTGCTTTATATTATTTTGGAACATGTGATAGTACTTTTTCCTCTTAAACATAATTGTGTAGGCATGTTGGTTTCATACATATCTGAAAACATTCAAACAATTTTCTACAAACAGCTACGATTTAATGACTTAAAAATATAAAAATACTGAGTAGCCTACATTGCACATTTCTATTATTTATTTTATTTATTTATGAAAAAAAAATTTTTTTTCGAACTTATGTTTAAAAGTAAAATCTTTGAGTAATGATAATCAAGTCGTTTTATTTAACCTGAACAAAACCGTCTTATCGCAAATCTCACCGGCGTCGCGTTTTTAAACGCGTCGCGGTCAGTCACGTGACACGCGAAACGTCCAAAAGGCGCCAATTTTGAAATGAACTCGAGCGCGAATGTTTCACAGCAACGGCTGCTTTAGTTTAACACACAACTAACATTTACTAAAAGAATACATCATATGAGTCATATTAACAGTTTATATGACTCTTTTATTGTACTTTATTGTCAACGGTTCCGTCCACTTTGCGACTGGGACGTTTTTCCTCGCAGAAGAACGACATGAGGGTGAGTAAACGACAGAATCTGTATTTCTGTATAAACTAATCCTTTAAGGAAGAAATAAGCTGCTATTAATTTGTTTCACTTTCTAGCAACACATCTGCTCTTGTTTGATTGATTCGGACCCATTAATTCAGTTCATAATTGTTTAGAGTTGGTGTGTTAGTGTCAGTTTATTCTCAGCATGTGTTTCTCGTTTATTCTCTTTCTGGCTACAAAACAACTGACCACAAATATGAACGTATTGTCGTTTATAAAACACACCACAACATTGGTTTCTGCCAGATATAACGTACATGATCCATGTACAAGAATCTAATAAGCTCTCCTGTCCTGAGCTGTTTTAGTTTGTGTTTTTCTCAAGGCCAAATTCCTTCCAAACGCTTCTTAATGGCGATGAAAGCATTAAATTGTGGTCCATTACACACTAGTGGATGTGTTTGGATCTGTATAGACCTGTCTTCAGGGAAAATGAGCCCAGAAATCACGATTTTTCTCAATCAGAGCAGCTTGATTGTGTTGCACGTCAGTTTGACCCATACTTGATTTTCAAACTGCTTGAAATACAGGTTAAACCTTTTATTTCATCTTGAAATTTGGTGGATGTTTTTAATTTAGGGTTATGAATAAGCATGCAAAGTTTCGACACGTATATGTGTTTTGGAAAGGCTGTACACAAATTGACTTTTGTGTTGGGGTCAAATTGTCCCCCATTGGTTTCCATGCAATTTGCCAAAAACCAACACTCTGAAAAACACTAAAGAATCAGGTAAGAAACAGAAACCCTTTATTTTAGTTTGTCAGACACTAAAATATGAAACGCATGAGAACTTATTAAATTTAAGACTCCAGGTGTACTCGAAATTGAAGACTTGTCTTCTGAATCATCCAAGAACAATTCAGTTTCTTTATTTAGTTGAATTTCACAGTCAAAAAAATCAGTTTTTGGTTGTTAGTTTTTTCTAAAAATCTGTTACAGTATTAAAAATAAGTCCGAAACCCATTTCACCCTTACAAGGGTTTGAGAAAAAGACATAACACAAAGGCAGGGAAAGTACAAATAGCAATAAATACTACTTTCACCAAGTATAAATAATATTAGATAATATTTATACTAGTCACTATAATATTTAAAGTAGTTATGACAAAATATCTGTTTTCTTGCGTTGGTACAGCTAGTTTTGAACATTAAAATATGTGGGTCAAATTAACCCCTAGCACAATGGAAAATAAGACAAATAAATGGGAATTAAGTTTCTCACATATTTTATAATTTTTTTAGTCTTTGACAAGCTATAATAGAGGTTTTCTGTTTTATTTATTGTTTCTATTTAATCTTTAAATCTTTCTGTTCTTCATTGTGTCGATGTTTATGGCAAATTGCATGAAAACCAAAGGGGGTCAGTTTAGCCCCAATGCAAAAGGGATGTATTACGGATGATTAATCATCCACAACCACAAAACTAGGACACATGATAGGAGATTTTATGAAAATATTGATCATAAGCGTTTATGCTGATAGAATAGTTTACATTTATCCATTAACTTGAGATTTGACCTCTCGTTCGTGCCAAAATATTGCATTGGTTTCCAGGAGTTTTATCAAATCAGCTTCAAACTGTAATAAACATTTTGAAGTCAAGTTTACTTTTAGCCCCAACTATCTTTTTGCTGTGTATTGTTTGGCAGTAAAACCATTCAAATAGTGTGATGTAAGACCAATGAACTTTAATACCGAATCTTGGCCCTGTAGAACAAAGTGCGCCACCAAGTGGTGAAGAAAGGAACTTCAAAACATCAGAAAAAGAGTTTAGTTTGACCACTTCATGTACAAAAGCAGACCAACATCTTCATAAATGAGTGAAAAATAACAACAGCATTGAGGATAATCGCATAAGACCATAATACTGCTTAACATAACATACATTTCCTTGAGTTACACCATGAACGTTGTCTTTCAGTCCTTTTGAATGAAAATCAAGCTTTTGCATAAAACATAAATAACAGTAAATAAGACACTTCCCAAATCCAACCTTTTCTGATCTAATTTACAAACATCCATTTTCACTCTAAATACACTCATGAACTATTCTTGCATAAACATCACTCTTCACACTTTCACGGACTCGTCTTTTCACTTACAGCAAAACTAATAGATAACCGAGCATATTCTAAAATTATGGATTTCAAATTCGTGACCTCAAATCACATTGGGTTTGCTTCTCGTTTGACGTTCAAACCAAAGCGACCCTGAAATCCAATCCATATGCTGAAACAAATTTAGCAATTTTCTCATAATGTAAAAATATCACTCACCTGTAAAACGATCAAAGCCCACCTTCGCGAAATAAATTAAGACCCCTGAATGCAAGAGTTCAAAAACATCTGCAGAAGAAAGTTTAAAGTTATGGCGACTTATATATCAATGGGTTTCATCGCTGACAGCAGCCTTCCCTCCATAAGAGGGTTTTTAGGTGAACCTCTATAGCGACTGGTATCGTTTTCAGACACTTGAAGCAGGACAGACTTGGGACGCTCATTTGCTGCATTCTTATTGGCCGAAAGCATGTCACACTTTGTCTTTGGTGCTTTATTGGTGACGTCCTCCAGCGCTTTGACAGCTGCTTTCTTTTGAGGAACTGGAGGTTTGGGTTTCGAGGACGTTTGCAAACCACTCTCTAAACTTACAGCCTTTATCCGACTGGCGGCGCACCAACCCATCCTTGTGTCCTTCCGGCCTCCGATCAAAGAGTTTATCCTTCTGACGGACTGTCGGACCGGCGTGCGCTGGAACTTCAGAGGAGAGCGGAGCGCTTTGGCGTTGGGTGAATTCAGTGTCATCATGTTGAACAGTTTAATCTGGTCGGCAACTCTCATTCGGCGCGTTTCAGTGGCTCCAGGATGGTTCTGTGGCATCTCCGCTTGATCTTGAGGACCGTCGGTCTTATCTGTTAATAAAGACTCTTTGAGCTCGCTCGGCAGGGACGTATTGGCATTCGTTTGCGTTGTTGCATACGGAGTTGATTGAACTCTGTTGGACGTCTCCAATCTGAAAGCCACAGGACTTCGGATGTCTAAAGCGTCGATCAGTTGACTGCAGTCTCCAGTGGCCTCTTTTAGGAAAGCCCTGCTTTCATTTTCAAGACAAAGAGACCCGTCAGGGCTGGTCTCCACAAACTGTGTCGATCCGCTGTCAAACAGAGCACTGTCTATATGTAGAGGTGACAAAGGAACGATCTCGATTTGACCGAACGTCACATTGTGATCATCCGATTCGCTGGATTCGGACATCGATTTGTGTGAGGTTTCCGAAGGCAAACCCACGTCAGATTTTGCGCCTGGGCTGTCTTGCGGTTCGTCGTGGTTCTGCCGTTTAACGATGCTGTGAAGGTCAGTGCCAGATTCGCCGAAAGCTTGCTTGATTTTCAGTAGCGTGGGTCCAGTGTGAGAGCGTTCTTCGCTGAATGAATCCAAGGTGATGCGGTCACTGAAAGCGCAACAGAGGCGCTTGGGAATGCTGACCATCGCAGGTTTGCTCACGATGATGGTTGGCTCGGAGCGGTAGCTGCTCTTCAGACAGATGCTTACGGGAGTCTCCGAGAAGGAATCCCGTGGGAAGGTCAGGCCGACGTCAGGAGTGTCTCCGCTCCACGAGCTCCTGTGGTCTGTAGAATCACACTGCGGGGTCAGCAGGTT